TTTTTCCTAATGATTCAATGTAAAAAACACCAAAAACTCAAAGCGATTGAATTATTATTAATGAAGTTACGATTTTTTGAAAATAATGATGTTTTGTAAAGTAAGATTTTACAATTTTTTCACTCAAAAACTAAAGTGAGTAGAAAGTTGAAATTTGAGGACTTTTTCCTAATAATTCAAGGTAGAAAATACCAAAAACTCAAAGCGATTGAGTTATTATTAATGGAGTTACGATTTTTTGAAAATAATGATGTTTTGTAAAGTAAGACTTTACAAACAATTTTTTCACCCAAAAACTAAAGTGAATGGAAAGTTGAAATTTTGAGGACTTTTTCCTAATGATTCAATGAAAAAATACCAAAAACTCAAAGCGATTGAGTTATTATTAATGGAGTTACGATTTTTTGAAAATAATGATGTTTTGTAAAGTAAGACTTTACAAACAATTTTTTCACTCAAAAACTAAAGTGAGTGGAGAGTTGGAATTTTGAGGACTTTTTCCTAATGATTCAATGTAAAAAATACCAAAAACTCAAAGCGATTGAGTTATTATTAATGGAGTTACGATTTTTTGAAAATAATGATGTTTTGTAATGTAAGACTTTACAAACAATTTTTTCACTCAAAAACTAAAGTGAGTGTAAAGTTGGAATTTTGAGGACTTTTTCCTAATGATTCAATGTAAAAAATACCAAAAACTCAAAGCGATTGAGTTATTATTAATGGAGTTACGATTTTTTGAAAATAATGATGTTTTGTAAAGTAAGACTTAACAAACAATTTTTTCACTCAAAAACTAAATTGAGTGGAAAGTTGAAATTTTGAGGACTTTTTCCTAATGATTCAATGTAAAAAATACCAAAAACTCAAAGCGATTGAGTTATTATTAATGGAGTTACGATTCTTTTAAAATAATGATGTTTTGTAAAGTAAGACTTCACAAACAATTTTTTCACTCAAAAGCTAAAGTGAGTGGAAAGTTGAAATTTTGAGGACTTTTTCCTAATGATTCAATGTAAAAAACACCAAAAACTCAAAGCGATTGAGTTATTATTAATGGAGTTACGATTTTTTGAATATAATGATGTTTTGTAATGTAAGACTTTACAATTTTTTCACTCAAAAACTAAATTGAGTGGAAAGTTGAAATTTTGAGGACTTTTTCCTAATGATTCAATGTAAAAAACACCAAAAACTCAAAGCGATTGAATTATTATTAATGAAGTTACGATTTTTTGAAAATAATGATGTTTTGTAAAGTAAGATTTTACAATTTTTTCACTCAAAAACTAAAGTGAGTAGAAAGTTGAAATTTTGAGGACTTTTTCCTAATAATTCAAGGTAGAAAATACCAAAAACTCAAAGCGATTGAGTTATTATTAATGGAGTTACGATTTTTTGAAAATAATGATGTTTTGTAAAGTAAGACTTTACAAACAATTTTTTCACCCAAAAACTAAAGTGAATGGAAAGTTGAAATTTTGAGGACTTTTTCCTAATGATTCAATGAAAAAATACCAAAAACTCAAAGCGATTGAGTTATTATTAATGGAGTTACGATTTTTTGAAAATAATGATGTTTTGTAAAGTAAGACTTTACAAACAATTTTTTCACTCAAAAACTAAAGTGAGTGGAGAGTTGGAATTTTGAGGACTTTTTCCTAATGATTCAATGTAAAAAATACCAAAAACTCAAAGCGATTGAGTTATTATTAATGGAGTTACGATTTTTTGAAAATAATGATGTTTTGTAATGTAAGACTTTACAAACAATTTTTTCACTCAAAAACTAAAGTGAGTGTAAAGTTGGAATTTTGAGGACTTTTTCCTAATGATTCAATGTAAAAAATACCAAAAACTCAAAGCGATTGAGTTATTATTAATGGAGTTACGATTTTTTGAAAATAATGATGTTTTGTAAAGTAAGACTTTACAAACAATTTTTTCACTAAAAACTAAAGTGAATGGAAAGTTGAAATTTTGAGGACTTTTTCCTAATGATTCAATGTAAAAAATACCAAAAAGTCAAAGCGATCGAGTTATTAATAATGGAGTTACGATTCTTTTAAAATAATGATGTTTTGTAAAGTAAGACTTCACAAACAATTTTTTCACTCAAAAACTAAAGTGAGTAGAAACTTGAAATTTTGAGGACTTTTTCCTAATGATTCAATGTAAAAAATACCAAAAACTCAAAGCGATTGAGTTATTATTAATGGAGTTACGATTTTTTGAAAATAATGATGTTTTGTAAAGTAAGACTTCACAAACAATTTTTTCACTCAAAAACTAAAGTGAGTGGAAAGTTGAAATTTTGAGGACTTTTTTCTAATGATGCAATGTAAAAAATACCAAAAACTCAAAGCGATAAAGTTAGTATTAATGGAGTTACGATTTTTTGAAAATAATGATGTTTTGTAAAGTAAGACATTACAAACAATTTTTTCACTCAAAAACTAAAGTGATTGGAAAGTTGAAATTTTGAGGACTTTTTCCTAATGATTCAATGTAAAAAATACCAAAAACTCAAAGCGATTAAGCTATTATTAATGGAGTTACGATTTATTGAAAATAATGATGTTTTGTAAAGTAAGACTTTACAAACAATTTTTTCACTCAAAAACTAAAGTGAGTGGAAAGTTGAAAATTTGAGTACTTTTTCCTAATGATTTAATGTAAAAAATACCAAAAAGTCAAAGCGATCGAGTTATTAATAATGGAGTTACGATTCTTTTAAAATAATGATGTTTTGTAAAGTAAGACTTCACAAACAATTTTTTCACTCAAAAACTAAAGTGAGTAGAAACTTGAAATTTTGAGGACTTTTTCCTAATGATTCAATGTAAAAAATACCAAAAACTCAAAGCGATTGAGTTATTATTAATGGAGTTACGATTTTTTGAAAATAATGATGTTTTGTAAAGTAAGACTTCACAAACAATTTTTTCACTCAAAAACTAAAGTGAGTGGAAAGTTGAAATTTTGAGGACTTTTTTCTAATGATGCAATGTAAAAAATACCAAAAACTCAAAGCGATAAAGTTATTATTAATGGAGTTACGATTTTTTGAAAATAATGATGTTTTGTAAAGTAAGACATTACAAACAATTTTTTCACTCAAAAACTAAAGTGATTGGAAAGTTGAAATTTTGAGGACTTTTTCCTAATGATTCAATGTAAAAAATTCTAAAAACCCAAAGCAAATGAGTTATTATTAATGGAGCTATGATTTTATAATTTTCAATGCCTTTAAATGCTTTATTTTGTAGAACTTGTCTCTTATTGTAATTAATAAATGTATTAAAAAAAAAATCTTTGTCTGGGAGGGGTAATTACCCCCTTTACCCCCCGTTTAAACCGCCCTTGGAGTATACAGGGTGTCTCAAAAAAGAGTAATTACGATATTGTGAAAAACCTGTTTTTTGGCGAAATTTTTCAATATGGCAAAGTAGAAATTCGGAAAAAACACGTCTGAACCTATAAAATTTTCAAAACTCCCGAAAAACTTTCCAGGTAAAACTACCAAATTACAAAAAACTACACTTTTTACCGTTTTTTGTGCAAAGTTAAGGGAAAATCTTAATTCAAAATATTAATGAGATAGATACGGCAAATATGATATTTTCTGAAAGATGACATTTTCAGCTTTCCAATAGAAAAGTAATATATGGGGTGTTGTATCTGAAAAACTTATTTAAAATAGACTTTAAAATTGACGTGTTTAGACAAATATTTTGCACACCCTGTATCCTTATATCGAAAAATGAAGATAATGTAGGAACAACTAGGCTAACATTAGATTACATGTAAATTTTGAATGGAAATTAATTTACAGTGGCGAAGATATGACAATTTAAAAAAAGTATGTTTTGGTCTATTTTTTTCTTCGAAAAATCATAACTTGGCAACGCCGCATTCAATCTAAATACGATTTTAAAGTTGAATACAGCGCACATAGAGGCTTTATTTGCCACATAAAAACATACGGTATTCCATTAAAAAAAAACATAAAATTTGTGATTACTCTTCTTTGAGACACCCTGTATACTTGAGAATAATTTTGGGTTTTAGCAGAGATGAAATGCTAAAACTTTTATACAGAACATTTTTCCATAAGTTCAACGGTTTGGCTACTATTGACCGAGGCGCGCTTGTTGGACTACCCTGTATATGTTAGTTAATAGTTTTAGGGAAATTTATCATTCATTTGATGACCAATACAATACAGATACAGAAGAAAAGTTTCAATACCTACCTACTACACTCTAATTCACAACTTTTTTTCCTTCCAGCATTTCAACTCTTCGTGCCATTTTTTCAAAGGATTTATCATTTACGGTTCAAGAAATTTCTCTAGTCGCCGTTCCTTTAAGCTTCCACTGCAGAATCCAGTAAGAAAATCATCATAAAAATACTCTCAAATTTACTCCGTCAGCTTCGCGAGCTTTTATTTCTACGTCGTCTGTTTGCCGGGTATAAAAATGCCTCTCAAAAGCTTCATTCACCATCCAGATTTTACCGCGCAGTAAAAGTTTATTACATATTAATTTGCTAGGGTAGTTTTTCTAAATACGTTGACGCATTTGTATTATCGGCCGTAAACTAGGTTTTAATAAAGGCGATTCATTAATTTGATAGATATGGACGTACTTTCTGTTGAAATCTATATTTGGAATAGGGAACTATAGAGGTTCTAGAGGTTTGAGAATGCTTATTCTTTTGAACCAGAATCAATATTCAAAATTGAAAAATCCAGTAAATGGAATCGATAAATATGCCCACGTAACTTTCGGACAAAACCTTATTCAACAAGGTTCAGGGTTTATTGTCATTCAAAAAAGTGCAGAAAACTGGTGGAATAGTCAAGGCAACACCTGGAATTGAACACTCTTATAGAATACTTGATTGATATCAAGAATTATTTTATTACTTACTTTTATTTACTAATTAATACTCTCGTTAATACCTAACTGTCATTATGATTTTGCTTTCCACTGCTGTCAACAACAAAAAACTGCATCAAGCGTCAAAATTATAAAAATGTTTTGAAAAAAATAAAAAAATAAATATGTTCAACAACATTTTTTGTTTTCGTTTTAGCAATGGAAGAAGTCCTACCAGAAGGAAAAAATTTCAGATTGGTCGAAGAATCCGAGCTTCCAGAAATTATCGATTTCCTCGGTAATTTTTTACCCGATTCTTTAAAGGTAAGAACTACCACAATACTATAGTTGCAGCATACAAATTAATCATAATTTCCTGAAAAAGTTGGATTATTTGAATAACGAACATTTACAAAAATATGCGGAGTTATTACTAACTGCAGTGCAAATGGGCTTGATGTAAATATTTTGTATACAAAATACAAAAAGTTCCATTTATTTTCCCTGAAATTAAACCTTCCTAATCCAAATGGAAATTAATGTTGGTTCAAATCCAGCAAATGAAGCTTAATAATTACTATTTATTGAGCTCACCTACCGCTACTATCTATTTATTAGTAGGAGGCGTTGCTTAAAACCCTACTAGCGGAATAATTAAATTCCCTAATGATTTATTTTAACTTTTACAAATTGCCCTTTCATTTTAAATTGCTAGAGAATTTGTACCACATTTTCTAGGTACTTACTCATTTTCAATAGAACGTATTTCGTCATATTGTTTGTATAAATCCAGAATTGTTAGGAACCCCAGGTTGTAATGTAGGTTGTAGATATTTGCATTTTGGAAAAGAGGATTAGACATTTTTTTTTCCCAAGGCATTGTTAAGTTATCATTTAAAAACATATACATTGAAAATGTTGAGAGGTTGTTAAAACTGATAATGCCTTTTATCATCAGATTCTCTGAGTGGCTTCTTTAAAGACTCATATTTTTTGGGAATTTGTAAATTCCTTGAAGTTCCTATATCCAATTGTGAAATGCGCGGTTTTCAACTTCACTATTCTTACCTATCCAACCCGTCCAAGAATAATTTAAGCTATACTCCCCATAGGCCATTCAAATTTCTTTTTATTATAATCTGATCTCCAACTTTTACTGTCTGTTTAGAATTTTTCTTGGAAAAAAGAGTCAGCTGACTAAATCAAGATCTTCAGTTCCTACTTCTTTAACATCTTTGTAAGAACATTGACGGTGTTAGAACAAAATAGTCATTGGGAGCTTCAGACATATACGTCAGTGGTCGTGCATTCAAAACCGCCTCACAATCGCAAAGTACGGTCTGTAGCTCTTCCATATCAACGCTTGTTTTTCCAAGTGTTTTACGTAATAACGTAGATGGCACAAGTATACAGTACGATCCACACGTTTTGGTTAGATTTGAGATGTAAAGGGCCAGCTAAATCTTTTCCAATAATCTCGAACACTGCGGGATCCCGTACTCTGTTCTCCGGTAAACATATAGCAGAAGTATCTAACAATTTACCTCTAGAACGACAACATATAGTGCATCCATTATTAACTGATTTAACAGTGCGTCTGCATTGAAGAATTCAATAGTTTTCCCGTAAAATGCTCATCAATCCTTGTATGTTGTTTTTACTGTGTTCTTCGAAAATAAGACGTTTAACAACATGATTTGAGGGTAAAATATACGGCATACGAAAGTTCTCTGTATCAATTCTTTCTGATATCTTAGTACGTACCCTGATTAACCTTTCCTCATCGATAAACGAACATAAAGGTGACAGTTTTGGATCATTTTCGGACTGAAAACTTTCTTCTTGTATAAAACGAATGACTACTTCTTTTGACACTTCTAATTCCTTTGGTGTCAAAAGGTTCTTGTTTTCGGTATTCTTCTTTTTGCAGTTATTGACAAATCGTAGCATCCGCATGCAATCATGTTGACTATTTGGTTGAATTTTGAGAAATACAGGTTATACCATAAAAAATCTTTGGTTGCAATCAAAGAAGAAACTACAGTATTTTTTCCTTACTAACTTCTTCTTCGTCGCACTTAAAATTTTGACTTGGTCACTCTGAAACTAGATCAAGTAACCATCGAGGTCCCTCCCACCATCTTCTTTCAGCTAGTGCTATCGCAGAACAGCCTCTGCTGGGTTCAATTGACCAGGAACATGGTACCAATTCCCAGGTTTGGTAAACGTTTTTATTTCTTCCACACGATTCCAGATGAACGGTTTCCATTGGTATTATCTCCTAATCCAAGATAAAACTGTTGATGAATCTTACCAAAAGAAAACTTCAAGTTTTAAACCGTAATTATTGTAAAAGTTTTGAAATAATCGTACACTAATGGTAGCAGCTAAAAGTTCAAGACGGGGTAAAGTTAACTTCTTATCAGGTGCTACTCTAGATTTTGCTTCAATTAGTCTTGAATAAACTTGGCCTTCATCTACTTCTGTCCTTGAACAAATTCAAGCTACATAAGCGTCGACACTTGCATTACAGGAGACATGTAAAGACTGAGTAGTCGATTCTTCAAAATCTGATGTAGCTATCCATCAAGGAACTTAGTATTGCAAATCGTGTAATTATTTCAAAAATATTTCTGGAATTTCTCCAGTGAATTCAACGTCCCATCCCAAATTCGAAGACCATGTCTTTCGGAGTAAAGGTTTTGGAATCAACGTAACTGGACACGAAAACCCAATAGGGTTAAACAAATTACGAGTTATGGATAAAATAATTCGTTTGGTTACCTGTCGTATATCGAGTTTATCAAAAAATTGTAGTGAAAGTGTCTAAATTTCTGTTTTAAACAAGTTCAAGAATGTTGCTTCTTTCTTCAACTTCAGCATACTCTGATAAAGAATTCTCCCACCCTCTAAGTTCAAATTTACCATCAGCCAAAATTGATGTAGACTGTTCAATGAATTGGTTTAGAGCTACTTTATCTGATACGCTTACTAGAACGTTGTCAACGTAAAAAGACTTCATTAATTTGCAAATAAAACCACGACTGTAAATAACTGCTTCGCGTTCTGATTTTTTGAAATTTTCCTCAAGGTGGTATCTATAACTGCTCCTAATAGAAAAGGACTGCATGATACTCCAAATACCACTCGTGTATTTATGTTTAAATATTTTTAAGTTGTCGTGTCTTTATCATACCACAGGAGCTTTAACAAACCTTCTTTATATCAGCAGTTACTCCAATCTTCTATGTTCGAAAACATAAAATTATGGAAAGGATCAACTCAATAAGATTGATACCCTTTTCCAAATATTGATTCAGGGATGGTTGACCTTTTGTCTCTTGATGACGCTTCAAAAACAGGTCGTACAGATGTTGTGGCACTACTAGGTTTGTAAACTGGATGGTGTGGCAAAAAATGATCAGACTGACATAAAATTTCAAAAGGTTCATTATTATCTGGTAATGGTTCTATCACTCCATCTGCTAACCAATTACCAAAGACTTCATCATAAAATATTGCAAAAATTATCTTTTTTCAATTTTTTCGTGGTGTTAAGAAGTATTTTTTTTATGACAAATCAAAGTTAGTGACCTTCAAGTCACGGCATACTTACTTCATAGGTCTGTTTCGACAGTAATTACAAACCAGTCAGAGCGTTTTTGATTGGTCCAAATCGCCAACAACCAGTTTCCTGAATATTTTCAACCAATGAAATTCGCTCGCAGACCTCATATCGTTTATCTTTTTGCTTCACTGTTGACTGTTCACAAAAAATGTTCCATGACCATGCTTCTTGTTCCTTTTGAGATTTGCTTTTTACAGGTCTTGAATTCCAAGAACATCTAAATTCCATAAGTTATATAGGTACCTACCTAGGTCAAAATCTTTGGAAACAAAGGAGTGACAAGTAACGATGCTCTCGTTTTGTAAGTTGGCTTCAGTTTACCTATAATGCGTTCAACCTAGTAATGTAGGAACTGCGACCAATCCGCACTCTAAATCATGTTTACTACATCAGCGCCTACCAATACATCGATGAGTCCATTCATAGTATCTGTTATCTCGATCCCTATTTCTTTTAGTTGACCTATCCAGGGTCCTTTTGTAATGGAACCAACATATAGTTAAACCAAATCCAAGCGGCAGTAATGATATAACTGGTCATTTTCATTACAACCTATATCAAATGTCCTCCGTGCATGCGCACTAGTTCTGGTAGGGCGTTCCAACCAATAAGAAGGCTGGATTACCAGCTGGTGTTTGTTTACAATTTAGGTTATTTAATGTCATTACTGCCGCTTGGATTTGGTTCAACTATAGTTACAAATCAATGGATCCAAAACTTCAAAACTACAATAAATTTTCAGTTAGAATATACAGACGATCCTCGTAGCATATGTGATTCACAGTTTCGGTTTGATTTCCTCCGAACAGTGAGTGAACTAGCTGTTCCTCTCTAATCGGTTTGTAGCCTACTTCTTCAGCCAACTTTTTTGTTATATAACTTGTGTGAACTGTAGCAAAATGCACTCAAGTACTCTATTTGATTAGTTAGATGGTAAATGGCGAGCGATATATTGATGGTGTTTATCTCCTTGAGCGGCTACCTATAAAATTGTGGAGGGAGTCTATTCGCAAAAGAGAGAAACAAACTATTGAGGTTTACTAAATTATATTTTATTATACTTAAAACCAAAAATTTAAATAAGCAAATATCTTTCTATGTCTAACAGCCACTTCTATTTTTCCTAAATCAAATTATTTCACATCCGTTCAAATTTCATTACTACGCACCACGAAATATCCATACAAAAAAAAATAACGCCCTACTTCTTCTATTCTTGATAACTTATAAGTTTATACATTACAACACTTCCGATTCACATTCCTATTAAAACTACCCTTCACCTATATCCATAAATTCTTAAAACTCCTAAGTCATTTATTGACTGCTTATGCAAAATAATTATTTAAGTCATAATCCTACTCACTGGATTAAGTACATATGTATTATCAACTAATTTTTATAAAAACCTTACAATAATTTCTAAATGAAAAGACCTTCATTCAAAATTTCAGCACTTAAGGTCAACAATCTCATTTCATGAACAACAAGTTTCTTGTCAAAATTTCCCATTACATTTAATGATTTATTCTTTTAATAAGGATCAATTTAAACAGAACAATTACTATTTTCGAATTCCTAGCCAACAAACACTGTTTAAACACAATTATTTAAATTCTTATTAGTTCGTTACTATAGCCCTTCAATCAACTTCAATTGGACAATCCAATTCAAAATTATTTAATAATTCTTTCTC